TCCCCACGAAACAAAATCCGAGGTAGCTGCACATCACGTAAGGTACATGCGCACCCCGAGAATTCGCGCAGAAGATGATCTCTGGCACCAGCGGATCTGCCACCCCTCACGCCAGACATTCGACAACTGCCTCACCGCCAAAGTCTTCTTACCAAGAGCACTGCTGCGCCCTGACGGCACGGAACCAAAACGCACCACATAGCCATAGGTCTACACCGTCTGTCCCATAGCTGCCCTCATGCACCAAGCCTACCCTTCACTACAGCCGAGCACCAACCGCTACAAGAAGCTGCAGAAAGTCTACTGCGACTTCATTGTGATAACCTACAGAGGAGTCAACGATGAGAACCACACTCTCACCTTCATCGACACGTACTCACGCTACGTTTGGATCTCTTAAGTTAAATTTCACTCAAAAGCTCCTGAAGTCTGTCGGATCTGGCTGGCTCATGCGCAACGGGAATCGAGAAAGAAGCTAAAATTTTTGTAGACAAACAGGGCAAAGGAGTTTCGCAGCAATGAACTGCAGTCCTTTCTCATGGAAAAGGGGATCAAACACCACATCGCTCACCAGCAGCAAGGCGTCGCTGAGCGGGTCAGTTGCACTCTCATGACAAAATTCCGCGCCCTCATGAAGCAGTCCGGCCTCCCCACCAAGTACTGGCCATACGCCATGAAACCACACCGTGCGACTTCACAATCTTTTGTCCACCACAGCCAACAAGGGGTACCTCTCACCGCACATGAAGTGGAGTGGGACAAGGGGGGACACCTCCATGCTGAGGTTTTGGGGGTGCATGGTGCAATACAGGCCGACTTCGCTACCATCGGCAAATTCACTGACCGCGCGCGCTAGCGAGTACATCTGGGGCTCAGCTACAAATATAAAGGTTGGCTGATCCTAGACATCAGCATCAACAAAATCTTATCTGGGCGAGACATTCCCTTCTACGAACGGCTTAACTTAGAACACTGGACCGAGGACCAGCAGAGAGGCGCCAACCAAGCCTACGCCAACAACGGTCGAAGCTTCGCCTCACCAGAAGATGAAGCAGCTGTAGCAGCCCTTGACCGCAACCCTGTTGACGAACATCTCGGCATACCTCCCCGTCCGCGCGACGACAACGACGATGATGATGGCAACAACACTTTCGCACTGGGACCTTCACAATGTTACGAACCCCCAAGCAGTTCCTCGCCTGCACAAGAGAGCGACGACGACGACGTGGTTGAAATAACCACTCAGGAAGCTCAAGGCACGGCAAACGTCACTAGCCTTCAACTCCTAGGTCTCCACACCGCCATCACTACTGCCCCGCGCATCATTGAGCCTAAGAATCCACGGCAGGCCCTCACACGCCCACACGCTAAGGGTGGCATGCTGCTATGAATGCACAACTGAAAGCACTGGAGTCCCGCATCTCAGAATCCCAACCACTAGACCATTGGGATAAAAGGGCTTGTTTCAGTAGCGGGTCAGTGCGCCCATAACCCCCCAGGCAAACGTGCCTGTAACCCTTCCCTAGGATCGATCGGGGATCACCAGTGGACCTCTGACACCCCCCCGCACTGGGATGCCCGAAGTGCATACACCAGGATTCGAACCCGAGACCTTCGCTCTGGATCCCATCTCAGAATCCCAACCACTAGACCATTGGGATAAAAGGGCTTGTTTCAGTAGCGGGTCAGTGCGCCCATAACCCCCCAGGCAAACGTGCCTGTAACCCTTCCCTAGGATCGATCGGGGATCACCAGTGGACCTCTGACACCCCCCCGCACTGGGATGCCCGAAGTGCATACACCAGGATTCGAACCCGAGACCTTCGCTCTGATACCATCTCAGAATCCCAACCACTAGACCATTGGGATAAAAGGGCTTGTTTCAGTAGCGGGTCAGTGCGCCCATAACCCCCCAGGCAAACGTGCCTGTAACCCTTCCCTAGGATCGATCGGGGATCACCAGTGGACCTCTGACACCGCAGACACATGGGTCCTAGTCGATCGTGCAGCAGTGAAAGGGAGGAGGGTGGTAAGCGGAAAATGGGTCTTTCGCCTCAAGACCGCCGCTGACGGAACTATCGAGCGCTTCAAAGCTAGGTGGGTCGTACGCGGGTACGACCAACACCACGGAATTGATTTCGACCAGACCTTCGCCCCCGTGAGCCGCCATACCTCCGTGCAAATTCTACTCGCCATCGCCGCCGCTAAGCACCTACCACTGCGGCAGATTGACGTCAAGAACGCCTTCTTATACGCGTTGGTCAATGCGACCATCTTCGTGGAACAGCCACACACCTACGGGGAAGGACACCCCATGGTCTGTCAGCTGAAGAAATCTCTTTACGGGATCAAGCAGGCACCGCGAATCTGGCAGCAGCACCTGCACACAATAATTCTCGAGATCGGCTTCAAGCAGCTTCCGTACGACCTGGGAATGTACCGCCTCCACTTCAACGACGACTACATCCTCCTGACAGTCTACGCCGGTGGCTTGGTTTACACTGGCACAAGTAGCGAGCTCCTGAACCAATTCGAGCATAACCTGGCGCAGCGCGTTGACATCACCATCAACCACAAAGTCACACAGTTCCTAGGGCTAAACATCACCTACCCGCCAGACGAAATTCATCTGTCAGCTTGCAAGTACGCAGAGCAGCTAGGGGAACGCTTCAAAATTTCGCTGGCACCACTCTCAACTCCCTACCGCACGCCCAGCGCCAACTACAAATCGGACAACAAACCCCTGTCGCCTGCAAGATTCCAACTTTATCAACAGCAGCTGGGGTGCCTGCTATTCGCCTCCGTCACCTACCGACCCGATCTTTCGTACATCACCAGCCAACTGGCATAGTATTCACGCAAGCCAGTAGCAAAGAACCAGTTGGACCTAGAGCGCGCCCTGTAGTACTTCATTTCGACACCGGACATCGGGCTCTCCTACTCCACGCTGAAAAAAACGTCCTTCAATCTCACTGGTTACGTGGACGCAGATCACGCAGCTGATCCTACCAATCGACGGTCACGAATTGGCTTCGTCTTCCGCCTGGAGCCAACTGGCCCAATCTCCTGGAACTCGCAGAAGCAGGAACTGGTTGCCCTGTCATCAGCTGAAGCAGGGTACATCGCTGCGACAGCTGAATTTCGCGAAGGGCTCTACCTGCAAGAGTTGCTGCAGGAGGCAAAAATCCCACCTTTGTCCACCTTTTGCCTTCACTGCGACAACCAGAGCGCCATCAAGATCGCGAACAAACCGGGGTTCGTCAACCGCACGAAGCACATTGCGCTTCAGTACTTTTTTCGTTAAGGACATAATTGATCAGGGCAAGGTTGACCTCACGTACTGCCCCACTACCGAGATGGCAGCCGACTTCCTCACCAAGCGACTGCCACGTCAGCAGTACCAGCACTGCTCCAACCTCACAGGAGTAGTCAAGCGAGTCAGCCCTCAACACGCCCAGGAATGAAGGGGGGTGTTGAAATATGAAACTTTATGAGAAGGCATTCCTGTACGCTGTAGGAGCTGGCTCTACCGAGTACGAAGTCGAGGAGTCAGAAGAGTCGAAGCGACACCAACAACCGTCAGATCAAGGCCGATGCAGGCAGAAACATTCAGAGTGAAAAGAGCAGGAACAGGTTTGAAACGTTTCCTGCGCCGCACAGTTTGAATTCGCTGTGATTAGGGAATGTACCCTACATGGCTAGCTAGGATGTTTCGTTTTCCCCTTGTATTCCTATATATACACGATGCATGCATAGTTTTATTATCTCAGTCATGTACATTCACTCTAACCTGAGGTCGATTACTTCCGCTGCAACAATTCATGTGCGATCTGTCACAATAGATTTATATCTATTTAGTATCATCTGCCTGTAGTGTAGCTGTTGTGTAATTCCCTTGTGTGGTGGTGCACCTCTTTCACCTTTGTTAGGTTGCTATATGTACTCGTGTGCTATAGTGAACCTCCAACCATTCTTCAATTCTCCTTGGCACAAACTACTCGACACCTGCTTGGCCTAGGCTACTAAGCCTAGGCCTATTAGTTAAACCCGTTGCCTACCTTACGTTAGTCTCGTGATATGGTACTGAGCTAGGTCGTTCCCGGCCTATTTTTTAAAGGGCCCACCGTTAGTTATGGTGATGGCGCGTCCCGTCCTTCCCCATCGCTCGCCCGTAGCAAAATCCGTCACGGTAGTCGTGACAGACATGACGGTCGCGGCGGGAGTGACGGCGTTCGTCGACCCGCTGTTTCGCGCCGCTGCTCTTGCCCCCCGTCGCCCCCTCGAACCGCCGCTTCCTTCCCCGTCGCTCTTCCCCGTCACGCTGCCTCGTCGCGGCTCACTGTCGCGGAAACGTCGACGGTCGCAGTGGGGGGGGGGGGGGGGGGGGGGAGAGGAGAGGGGGAAAAGGGTGGCGACCGTCACTTGAGCACCAGCGCTTGCCCGCGTTTCGTCTCGTCCCGTTCCGTCCCTGCCCACCCTCCCGTCGACTTCGCGGCTACTGTGAAGGGAGTGGCGGGAATGGCGGGCGTGGCGGGAGTGGCGGGAGAAGCTGCTGCTCCGCCACTGCACGCTACAGATCGTCCGCGACCCGCACCCCGCACCTCACTCGCCGCTCGTCCGCCACCCGCGCCCCGCACCCCGCCCGTCGCCCGTACGCAACCCGCACCACGCACAACGTCCGTGCTCCTGTCCGCGAGACCCGTCCGCACCCCGTACCTGCACCCAGACCGCCGTTCTGCCCCAGATCCCGCCCCCCCACCGACAAATGCCATTCCACCTCCATCTCCGTCCCCGTTTCCAGCAGGAGGGGGAGGAGGTGGGGTGTTGGCCCGTGGGGGACGGCTGGGGTAGGGGGAGTGGCGGAGTTGGCGTCTCATGTAAGGGGGAGGTTCAGGGGGTGTGGGTGGATGTTCCAGCTGCAGCAACTGCCACCACTCCTCCTCCTGTCATCCCCCCGCCCCGTGTCTCCCGTGTTGCTACCCCGTCGTTCCCGTGCTCCCATGCTCCCGTTCTCCCATTCGTCCCGTGCGTTCCGTGCTCTCGTTTGTCCCGTGCGCTCCGTGCTCTCGTTCGTCCCGTGCTGCCCCGTGCTTCCCGTGCTCCTGTTCGCCCCGTGCTTAGCCCGTGTCCTGCCCCGTTCTGCCCGAGTTGCCCCGTTCAGCCCGTGTCCCGCCCCGTTCTGCCCGTGTTGCCCGTGTTCTGCCCGTGATCCTGCCCGTGATTCTGCCCGTACTGCTGCCCGTGATTGTGCCCGTGATCATACCCGTGTGCTGCCCGTATTTTGCCCGTGTTCTGCCCGTGATCCTGACCGTGATTCTGCCCGTGATTCTGCCCGTGTTGTCGCCCGTGATTTTGCCCGTGATTCTGCCTGTGATCCTGCCCGTGTTGCTGCCCGTTCCCGTGCCATACTGTCCGTTCCCACCCGTGTCTCCCGTTGCTGCCCGTGTTCTACCCGCGCCCAGTGTTCCCCGTTCTGCCCGTGCTGCCTGTTCTGCCCGTGCTGCCCCGTTGTGCCCGTGTTGCCCCGTTCAGCCCTTGTCCTGCCCCGTTCGGCCCGTGTTCTGCCCTGTTCTGCCCGTGTTGCCCCGTTCAGCCCGTGTCCTGCCCCGTTCTGCCCGTGTTGCCCCGTTCAGCCCGTGTTGCCCCGTTCTGCCCGTGTTGCCCCGTTCAGCCCGTGTCCTGCCCCGTTCTGCCCGTGTTGCCCTGTTCTGCCCGTGCTGCCCCGTTCTGCCCGTTTGTACCCTACCCGTGCTGTCCGTACCCGTTGGTGCCCCACCCGTGCTGTCAGTTCTCGCTCGTGCCCCACCCGGTCTGTGCTGCCCGGTCTCGTGCTGCTCGTCACCCCCGTGCGGCCCGTCCCGTACAGCACCTAGTTGCTACCCGAACCCGCTACCCGTACCCGTGCTCCTCGCACACCGTGCACCAGCTGCGGGGCGTTCAACCGCAGCCGGGCACCTGTTCCACCGCGGTGGTTCAGATGCTGCTTGGTGGTTGCTGCTTGTCAGCTTCAGAGGGGGCCCCTTGCTGGTGTTCCCACGCCCTGTAATGGGGTTTTACAGGTGTACCCCTTCAAGGGGGGCTCTGCACATGGTTATGCACTTCAGGCAGATAGGGGGTGTGTCACTATAGATTTAGTATAATCTGCCTGTAGTGTAGCTGTTGTGTAATTCCCTTGTGTGGTGGTGCACCTCTTTCACCTTTGTTAGGTTGCTATATGTACTCGTGTGCTATAGTGAACCTCCAACCATTCTTCAATTCTCCTTTGTTGGGAAAATAAACGCATGACTTAGTGCGTTTCTGTAGTATCGAACCTCACCCGATACTGAAGCACAACAAAAGGAGTACGAAGTCGAAAAGGCGCGTACCACATCAAACCGCAACTGGAGGTTGCGAGCTGTAACCGCCTGGAGGTTACGTAACAGCAAGCGACGCTTCAGTGAACAGTAACCACCTCGATAGTCGAAGCGTTACGCGTCTCGATAAACATAACCGCTTCTTGTAATCTATCCTTTCTATATATTCCTGTATGCCCTTTGCTTTAATCAATTACTTGTTCTCACATACCAGCACAAGTACATTTACTCAAGACTTCTGCTGTGCTACTTTAGCACCTACTAGCCTATTCTCTGCAAAGATCCTAAGGCTGAAATTCTCAGCCCAACATGGTATGAGAGCAGTCAGAGAACAAAGGCTCTCGTCACTAAGCCTCTTCCAGGCTATCAATCTGCAAACGACCAAGAAGTTCAACCTTCACTCAAGAAAGGCAAGACATGGCAAGTGGCAAAGAAAGAAGATCATCTACGGGATCTACTCTACCCCCGGTCTCCGAGTTGCAGACCGAAGGAGGAACAACGCCCGGATTAACGCCGGAAGCGACGGAACGCTCTACTCAAGCACCAGTAGCGCCGCCAACAATCTTCAACCCAAGCTTAATGGAGGAGTTCTTCAACTTCATGTCGCAGCAGCAGTCCTCGCAACCTGCAAACAGCAACAGCGTAAACAACGGAGCGACACCAATGAGTATTGACAACTCATCGTTCGGACGACATAATCAACAAACACCAAATTCGGTCTCACCTGGTTCCTTCACGTTCATGCCACCCCGCCATCCAGCGACTCCTCTTCCCGCCATCAAACGAGACACCGAAGAAGTCCTGCAAGTACAAGCACAGTTCAACAACATCCAACGACTGCACACATCCACACCATTCAACGGGAAGGACTTCTACTCTTGGAGCTTCGAGTTTGAACTCCTGATGGAAGGCGCGAATCTTCTTGGCTTCTTCAACGGTACCTGGCCATATCCACACAACGGTGAAGACAAGGACAAAGAAAATTATACGTATCACTCCCTCATGGCTTACACCGTTCTTCTCCGAAACCTGTCGCCGAACGAACAACAAAGCATCCGCGCCTACCGGAACTACGCAAACTCCGCGGAACTCGCTTATCAACATCTGCGAAGTATTCATCAAGCATCCGACAGCGTTACGCAAAGCCGACTCATGGCACAACTGACAACAGTTTAAATGCAACCTGGAGAAAAGGCCATGCCTTACATCAGTCGCTGTCAAGGACTACGCGACAGACTCATTCGCCGCGGAGGAAACTTATCTGAAGAAGCTTTCGTAACCGTCGTTCTTGCCGGTCTTGGACCTCAGTGGCGCACCACCCGCTCACTTCTTCGCGCTCACGGTCGACTCTCCGAAATGCATCTCTGCGCCGAACTTCACGCCGAGCAGCAGGAAATGGATTTGTTCGAAGAACGCAACAACAAAAGGCATCATCAACCAGTCGTTCTTTACACCAATCGACGACAGCCACGCTACCAAAATCGAGGACACGTACCTCCTTATTGTCATCTTTGTCGGACTTCAGGACACACACGCTTCAACTGCCCTCAGCAACAACGACAACCAGCACCATTCTCTCGTCCTCTGCGACCAGTGCCTCTCCACATCGCGTCAACTCAACAACGACCCGCTACCGCCTCAACGACTACTTCAACACGACCGTCAACTTCCACTTCGGGACCTGCACAGACACCAAGAATCGTCGCCATGGCACGAACAACAGAGTCAAACATCGACTCGTGCATTACCGGCTCTCCACCGACTTACAGTCCTGATGAGCAACCGTCACCACCACCGTCGTCCCTTAACGTGAATCCAACGTACGCCGCCATCGCGAACCGTGCACCCACCGGACCAGACACATGGTTCCTCGACAGTTGTTGCGGTCATCACATGTGCTCTTCATCACGATTTCTTCAGCGCGAACGACGTCTTCCGCGAGACGTCATCATCACCATCGCCAACAACGAAAACCTGCGCACCAACAAACAAGGAGTCGTGGAGCTTCAGTCAAACGAAACAAACGTTATTCTTCAATTAAACAAAGTACTCGTCGTCGACAACCTCGGCTTTAACTTACTGAGCGTCAGCCAACTCATGTCGAAAGGCGTTCACCTGGAGTGCGACTCCGACGCCCTGGAAATCCGTCTTTACCACGGAAAAGGGGGGGTCTTCATCGGCCGTGCAATCCAACAAGATGACGTGTTCGTCCTCGACTTCGTCCCCAACAAAGGCACCGCAGACAGCGACGGCATAGTCGCTCTCGCACCTTGGACGCATCCGCCAGACCTCGACCCGAACTTCAGTCCTGAAGGCTTCTGGTACTCTCGTACCATTCCCGAAGCTGAACGCACCAACGCGCTTGCCGTCCTGCAAACACAAGCCACAACACCTGAGTCAGCACCCGTCATCGAAACAGCAACTGCACCCGTCACAACACCAACAACCACCGAACCTGCAATTGAACAACCAACCGTCGTCGCGGAACAACCTTCCGAAAATCCACAGCTCGGTCCCTCCGTCGCACCTCCACCTCTCATCATCGACACGCCACCGACAGCCGCCTAACAGTTAACGCCAGCACCACGCGCCGTTCATCGAAGTGCAGCAACACACGCCGCCTTCTTCGCTAACGCAGACTTCTATCGACGCTCCGTAGGTCACAGCGCCTCCGAAGACATCTGGCATCAACGTCTTGGACATCCTGGAAACACAACACTTTACAATACAATACGAGCCGGAGTGTTAGACAAGAACGCCCTACTTCTTCCCAACGGACGTGAACTCGAACGACCACGCGGCACCTGCTTCATCTGCCCGGAAGCAGATCTGCCTCACCAACCGTTCCCGTCACACCACAATCCGAGCGCCCCCGCTTATCAACCACTCGAGAAAGTCTACAGCGACATACTATACATACCTCGAACTGAAGGACGTGAAGATCTGAACTACGTCATCACCTTCATCGACGCCGCAACGCGATATGTCTGGCACGTCAACTTACCGTCACGAGACATGGCTCTAGAAGCCTTCACAGCCTGGCTACCTGTCGCTGAAAGAGAGTCAGGAGCGAAACTGAAGAGTTTTCAGTCAGATGGCGCAAAGGAGTACCAGTCAAACAGCTTCACACAGTTCTTGGCAGAAAGAGGCATCAAACGCCTCATCTCTCTTCCTTACGCTCACCAACAGCAGGGTGTGGCAGAAAGGATGAACAGGACCCTGCAGACAACCATGCGAAAGCTGCTACGTGGAACTCGACTGCCCAACTCAGAATGGCCAGCAGCGATGGACCACGCTGTCCTCCTGCACAACTTGTTGTCCTCGTCATCACTGCCCAACAACGCATCTCCGCACCTGTTGTGGACTGGGAAGCTGGGCAACACAAAAATGTTACGAGTTTTTGGGTGTATGGTACAGTACCGCCCACACACTGCACGCGCAGGGAGATTCTCGCAACGTGCACAGTGGGGTCTACACCTCGAGCTGGCAAAATATTACGAAGCATGGCGAATCTTCGACGTCCACACAAAGGAAACAGTAGCATCACGTGACGTTATCTTCTACGAGCGACTCACCCTCAACCATTACCTGGACAACATCGCACGCCACGTCGACCCCACCGGCGGATTTTCTGGTTCCCGAGCCTTCGCTTCACCCTCCGATGCTGCTGACTGGGAAGAAGAGAACGTCGACGGCGCTTCCGAAGCTGCTGGACCCCTTCCTTACTGCTCCGTCCCAATCCCCATGGACGAGGAAAACCCTCGCGACAGTAACAATGCCGACGCCTACTACCATTTCGCCGACAATGGTTACGTAACACCCCAACCCGTCAACACCGACATCTCTGAAAGATACGGCCCCGGATTCGCACCTGATCCTAAAGCGGGAGACGAAGCAGTCTATCCCGAGGACCCTTTGCTGAATCGTCACACCCCCAGCGGACTCCAAGTCCTGGGACTCGTCGCTGCAGTGCACGGGCCTTCGTCGCCACCTCAAGAGCCTCGCTCTGTCAAGCAGGCTCTGGGGGGGGAACACAAAGAAAAATGGCGCGAAGCCATGGAAAAGGAGTTAAAAGCGCTCTCAGACCGCAACACCTGGAAGATCGTCTCTGCATCACTCGCACAAGACAAACCCATTCTCTCCGGAAAATGGGTATTCCGGATCAAAACCAACTCCGACGGAACCATCGAACGGTTTAAAGCTCGATGGGTCGTCCGCGGATTCGACCAAGAGTATGGTCGCGATTTCACTGAAACCTTCGCACCAGTCAGTCGACATACTTCCCTGCGCATACTCCTCGCCATCGCCGCCTCACGCCGCCGCCCACTCCGACAAATCGATGTCGCCAACGCCTTTCTATACGCCCCAGTCGACGCTGAAATCTTCGTCGAACAGCCCCACGGGTTCGTCGACGACCCTTCCCTCGTCTGCCAACTACTTAAATCACTATACGGAATTAAGCAGGCACCGCGACTCTGGCAGCAGTACCTGCACGCACGACTCAAACGCATCGGATTCAACCAATTGCCCCATGACCAGGGCATGTATCGTCTCACTCGCGACAACGACTACGTTCTGCTAATCGTCTACGTCGACGATTTGCTTTACATCGGGTCAACTACCACCATCGTCACCTGGTTCGAAAAGGAGCTTCAGACAGATCTCTCCCTCACAGTCTCACCCAACGTCACGC